CATGTGGCGGTCCACCACTGACAGCGGGGCCCACCATACCATTAGCTCCTTTTATTATTAAAAAAAAAAAACCAGATCGGAGAGTTTCGGACCGCGTCAACCAGCCAAAGGAAAAGAGGTATTTTATCCTCTAGCCTTTGTGCTTGACCACCGTCCAGCCCGCTCCGGCCTGCATTCTCTCGAAACGAGGAAACGAGGTTCAACATCTTCCACTCCCTCGTGCCGAATCACCATCCAAGCAGTTGACTTGCCCCGGCTTGGGTATTGCCCCTGTTCGCCTTTGGTTTGTATTGTTCGCATTCGCGTCGGCCTCTCCCCTCTCGGGTCTTGGGAAAAGGATTCTGTAATTGGATTGGGTTTTGTGCACATAGAGCCGGCTTGCCCGGACTGGTCTAAAAATAAGGAGATTGTATTGTCTTGCTTCCGGCCTGCTAAGGAAATTGTCTTTGTTGTGGCTAGAGGAAGAAGTCTCATTAAAGGGAGAAATTGAAGTGTTCGACTCAGGTGTCTTCGAGTTTTCGTTGGGTTCGCCCCGCTCCTAAGGCCTCCTTTAGGGCCACAACTACCACAAGTGTCGGCATCCGGTCCGCGGACTGGAGGACGGACCTCGCCCGTACCCCGCACGACGCCGGATTCAGTACTCCGGGCGGGTACCTGACGAGATAGGCCGCCAAGACCGTACACAAAGAGGAAGGAGGTGCCCGCTTGGCATGGACACCACATCCAGATCACAGTTCCTCTTGCTGGGACAATCCTCGAAGGTCCTATAGGAGGCCAAAGGTGGCGTGTGATATCCTACGCTAAGCAGACACTCCCAACGAAAGCAGGTGGGTCGCAAGAAGAACTCACCGCCACCCGGACTCGATCCCTCGCCTCCCGTGTTTCACCCGGAAGCCAGAAACATTCGGCTACTAAGACCCCGGTTATCGAAATTTCACTAAATGAATGATATTATCAGGCAATTTTCACCCTTTCTGAGCTGGGTAATAGGGGACACAAACAGGGGAGCTTGCAGATGAACTTTATCTGATGTGGAGGGATTACCTTGATTATGTAGGTGAACACTTAGAAACATCTGTTTTGCCTCCCTAACGTTTATGTGGAGGTTCTTCTTTGCTTTCCGTTTTTATTCGTGCTGTTCCCTTCCCACTACCAATTCTTTCACAATCTACAGTTAGCATTTTGCTGCATCAATTTCATCCTAATTTTTTATGTTCCCCCTTTGTGTTTGCACAGAAAAAAAAGAAAGCTTCACCTTCCTGAGTCCTTTCCTCTTCACCTGATCCTTGCTCAGACTTCTCCCAGCCCATTCCACTGCTCCCGGATAGGCCGTTGGCCGAGATGGCAAATTTCAAGGTTTCGATTGACTCCAGCTCGAAATTGTGGCATTTCCTCGTAGCAACGGTCCAGTTGACCGAATCACAGAAGGGCCATGACGGGGGAGAAATGCACCAATACACGGTGTAATTATTTACCCGCTCATCTTCTGGTTCCTTCCATTCCAAAAAGTACTTCCCGCCTTCTGTTCGGAGAACATTCTGAATCGTCGGGATTGAGATCTCTATTTCCCATAAAATTGAAAATGTCTGGTAATCAGTTGTTAGAAAACTATACTGGTTCTATGAATTGTGGATACCGAGGGACTCTCACGGTTTTTTTCATCCACTGAAATGATAGACGGCTGCTGACAGAGTAAATATTCTCTCTACAATATTTTCCCCTTTATCAATTTGGGCTTAAAATACCGTCTTCAATGCCCAAGTGGTTTCCCGAAAGTACAGTAAGTCGCATTCATTTTCGCATTTGAGATTTTCTCACCTGGTAAGTGAAATTGTCGGAGAAATGCTCCCAGTCGCTCAAAGGAATCCAGTAAAGATGAATATCCCTGAGGCCATCATCAATTCGCTCTACGTGGAAGCTCCCCAGCGGCACATCTGGACTCCTGTCAGGCGCTGCAAAATCGACATGGAAGGGTGACTAAATCGACAAAATATGATCAGAGGAAGAAAATGATGAATTTATACCTTTCGGCAGGGTTTTGACGAAAATCTTAGATATACTGGACCCGAGATCGGGGAATTCTGCATTCTCGATAATGGCCTTAATAAAGACGTCGTATTCGGTATTCGGAATGAGGTTCATCAACGTACGATTCCAGCTCCTTGTTTTAGAAGCTCCTGGGACCAGGAACATTTCCACCTGTATCACAATGTTAAACCTAATTGAGGCATTCCAGCTCAAGTGGTCAAATTTTGGTCACTTTCGTTGGGCTTGAGACTCCGATTTGCTTGGGAAAATTTAGACATGGTGATATGAAAGACTTATGAAAACATTTCAAATTTTAGCTCTCTGGCTCTAACGGTTTTCGAGATACGCAGCCCTAAACTTAGCCCCCAAGAGGAAAAGTGACCTTTGGGGTAAAAACGCTATCTTTGGTCCCAGTCGAGCTAGAAAATCGTATTTGAACTCTAATTAAAGCTGAGACAATGCTGGATCGCAATATCACATCCATTTTCTACTACGTTCATCACCAAGTGAGTTACACAAATTCAAAATTTGTAAATATTGCTGAATTTTTGCACGCAAATTTTGAGCACTAGGAAGCATGGTAACACAGCGAGATTTTGCAACATTGTAGACTAAAGCAATGCCAATTCAAGAACTAAATTTCAACTTCCTACGTTGTTTGAAACAGCTTAAAATTACATTTGAGAAGTCCAATTTTGCCTATTTTCACCCACTTTGGCGGTTTGTACACCCTGTTTCAAACGTGATCCAAACTTGAAACTAATGTGCAATAAAAACTCTCTCTAAGTTCTATCCAATGATGCATTACTCATGCTGTTGAATTTAATATTCTCGTCTGTGTAATTTTTTAAATAATTGATCTTGTCAGTTTTCCTCTTGAAATGTTTTACCCAAAGTACCAACTTTGGGAATCCTGGTGAAACAACCAGGTCTGGGTATATCTCACCAGTGACCTCTAAATAGCTGTGATTATATTTTATACCTGTTCCAAGTTTTAAAAAATAAGATTTGAAGTTTTACGGAGTTGCTGCTGCGATATTTGTGCTAACCTTAACGCTTCCATTGCATTTCAGTGTAAGCAGACATCAGAATGGAATTGTGTTCCTTGCAAAGGTTCGGTGATTGCCACACAACAAACTACATATCACATTCTTTTAGTGAAAATGTACAGGAAATGTTGAGTCTTAGGTTTGGAAAAGCCAGGATTGCATTAAAAAACCATTGCCTTCATCATGAACTAGTTTGGTCAGTGCGATATGCTCTTCCCAAGGGAGGGAAGAACTGTTGTGATCCCTTCAACAGCCACAGGAAGACGGTGAAAGGAGGTCGAAGCATCTCCTTTTAATATCAGCAAAAAAATTTCATTCTCTTCGTCTGATTCCGAGATGGAAACGGTGCGACACGCTTCATCAACATGTCTAATTTTTGCTCCACGCAGCAAAATGACATCGCAGCAAATGCTTTAGGGTGGATTTTTGAACAGAGCACGATCCGATAATGCAGCTTTATTTCAGAGAAAATGCATTATAAATCCGGTAAATAAAGCTGCATTATCGGATAATGCTCTGTTCAAAAATCCACCCTTAGTTTCTTTCCTCCACCGTGTACGATCGAGTCTGCATCCTTTTCCTCCCGTGCAAATTCTAACTGTGTTGTCTTCTTGGCAAAATTGCTGCACCAGATTAACTTTTTGTCAGGCAGAGGTTTACCCTCCTTCGTTGAAGGCTTGCTCAAAATTCCACTTTTTTGACACTTTCAAGGATTTTCTTATTTGACAATGGGATACTCCAAATATGTATGGTCTCTGCTAAGAGAAAAACTTGGACATCATGAAGTATGTAAGCGAAACGTGCTTCCCATCAATGTGCTCACCTCGTTATCTCATTATCTTCACCTTCCTAAAGTTACTTTGGGGTCCGCCCAAGTCAAATCAATAGTCATTTGGTAGGGAAAAGGGAGAGCATTGTATTGAGTATCAAGTAGAGATTCATTGGGAATGAAAAGAAACAAAAATTTGAGCGGATTTATACAGAGTGGAATGCGAAAAGTTCATGAAACTCGAAAACGGAAATTTCCGCTTTCTACCTTCGCTTTCGCCGGACGGAATGTAATTTATGCCAAGTAACTTTCATTCTTATTATAAATAAACTAGAGCTGACAGTCATTTTTACCGTTACGGAAGTTCCACTTCTTCGATCGACGGAGGTGATCCTCCGGCCAACGGTTTCCGTTTTGTGCTGGAGGTAACCACTGGCTTCCGTTTTATGATTTCCGCGCCGTTTCCCGCTGTGTATAAAGCAACCCTTAAACATATGAACATCCGGGTGCTGGTAGTTACAGGGTTAAGGATGTCTCCTGCTTATTTTTTCTGCTAGCTGGTGACTGCAAGGACAAGATAATGCAAAAATATAAGGGAGCTACTGTGGCTGTGAGTGTTGTGGTATACGCAAGTCTGAATCGAATGTTTGAAAAAAAAATCACTGCTTTGGAGCCATACTGCATTACTGTTTTCATTGAACTGTTTAGAGGGTGAGTGACTGAAGTTGAAAGACTTGTGTCGTTGTCAGGTGCCCGGATGGTCTATCCAAAGATCATCTATCCAAAGGGCACCTTCATACTCCCTTCATTAGGCCTAACAGCCTTGCACAACTTTAGCTTATAGGCACTTGGCCATGGACAGTCCTCCTAAAAGTGAATCTCATGAACAACTCAGAAAGTATTGGGGGGGCGGGGGGAGGGAAGACTGAAGATGAAAGACTTGTGTCGTTGTCAAGGGTGTCCGGATGGTTACGAGAAGTCCTCAGGTAGCTCTCGGCTGGCAACTCCCACCAAAACCCCACAAAACTACAACTGTCTTGCTCTGACTCGGTCGATGGAGGAGAGACGGAGAACCTACCGAAACTTGCCTTGGTTGCTTGCCTCGGTTGCTAAGGACGACGTCACTTTATGAGAGCTTATTCATTACCGGTATCTCTTTGCTCTGCTAGACTAACATCGGGTTAACCTAGAATCCATGGTGGAACAATATCTTCATTTCCTTTTCCCTTAAGAATGCATTGATGTGAGCTCAACAACCAAACATCTGCAAACCCTTCCACATCTGGCAACGATATACAAGAGAATAAGTCTTGGTTCTACCCCCCTATGTCATATTACCGATTTTCGGCGCACAGATGGGTGGCTTAGCGTATCTGAAACGGGAGAACCCACACTTTTCAACAGGAAGCAATTTCGTCATGACGTATCTGGGCCGGCGGAAAGATGAAGTCATATAGATACGTGGAAGCCCAACGAGATCACAGTTGTCGGAGTATTATGGGTGGCAGCACCATACTGAATTAAATAAATATGCAGGGTGTCCGTAAAGTCAGGAATCAATGGGAATTTATTTTACATTAGGAAGTATTTATAGTACAAGTTGCAAACGTTCACCACGTCGCTCAAAACACGTTCGTGGGCGATAAACCATGCTCCTCACGGAGATGGTCAAAGTCCCTGATTTTTGCCTCACAAACTGTTAAATTCACGTAGCTTTGATTCCTGACTTTTCGGACTCCTTGTAGACTTCATTCCAATAATGCATAACGGATGGCCATAGAGCATGCGAACAGATCCGGTAGACATCGATCACAAGGGCAGCTGAGGCTGGCTGTACGAGGTTATATATGACTGGGTGAGAGACATTCCACGTTTGACTTAGGGCGGGCGCCCGTTCGGGGTCGTTCGAGTCAAGTTGCAACATCTACGATTACGACATGTTGAATTTCGAGAGAACCAATATTCCCTTTTCCATCACTGAGGATTTATCCCTACCATGAATTGACCCTTGAAAACAGGTAGTTTCTGAAAGAAACAACATGGCAGCCCCTGGGCTGGCCATTATGGGCTCTGAGAAACGCTGGATGTGATAATAGGAGGAAAAGTACTTCGCTGTTTTCCCCCACCTTACTTCTGAACAAGAGTAACGAGCGAGCTCACGCACGCCATGAAGAAAGAGCACGTCATTCCATGGGAGGGGAACCCATTTGATTTTATGGACGATGGAGAAGTTGTACTCCACAAGGTGAGCTGGGAGATCCCAGGTGACTTTCAGTGTCTCTGCGCCAACTGCCTCCACGGCGAAATTCTCCAATGTCTTGATCCGAACTGCACGCATAACAGCAAATAAACATTGGGCATCAACATATTGATCATTATTAGTGTTGTCCGACGTTCCGAAAAGTTTTAATAGCCGTACCAAGTACCTTATTTCGGTAATACGAACACAAGTTTCCGAATGCGGATAGCACAAAAGGCGCTCGGATTAATGCAATCATTACACCTTTCCGTAATAGTCTCCCCGAACATCGATGTTGGTTCTCATTTCTTATAATCATTTCTCAAAGCAGTTTTTCCACACAGATTGTGGAACATCCGAGATCGCTGGAATACTCTGTCAATTCAGCAACTGCCTCTTTTTGAGACTGAAAGCGCCGTCCGTGGAGCTCATCTCTGGCTCTTGGAAAGAGAAAGTCCCATCTTTCTTTTCCCGAGGAGATTAAGAGCCAAAGCGAAAAGAGATTACCCACAGGGGAAGGGGCGAGGGAGGGGGTTGAGGGAATATAACTTTTAAAATTCATCGTTATATGATTGAAGGCTGACCTGGGCATAATGCATTCAGAACAGAATGAATTCATGAAATTAATAGGGTAGATAAAGTATGCTTATAAGCAATGCCTTGTTTACCCTTTGCTCGGAGTGGGTATCTCAAGCCCAAATGTGAAAATGCGCCTTTATGATCCAAAATAACCAGCGGATTTGAAGGAATGTGGCAACAAGACATGGTGCCACTGAATAAATTCTGAATAAATTCTGAATTATTTATCGCTTGGGTTCCGTGCATAAAAACCCTCAGTTTTCACTCTTTATGAACATGGACCAGACTCACTGTTCCGATGGTGATGAAAAGGATACGAAAAAGTTCCATTGCGGAGCGAACTTTGGGCAACCACCGTCATCTTCATTTCTCTCTCGCCAGGATGATAAAGAGGAGGTTTCACCGTGCACGTCCTTGCATCTGGGTTCGGCTTCTCGCATTCAATCATCTCCATCCTTTCATCGCATTAGTTTCATTAGGGACTCAGATTTCACAAGTACATCGATACCCAATCGATCGCGAGGAAAACAGGTACCCATTGCCCTGGACGAAGAAAGAATAATCCGCCCCTTCCATTTCGACCCAAGAGCAGAAGAGGTTCTCCAACTGCTCCGACCGGCAGCGCCAAGGTGGCACCCCAAGCGGGGGAGCTGTTACAATCATAGTATCTTATAGTACTACTCTACTCCATCTACTACTCCAGCAAAAGAAACAGTCGAAACGGAAATGCATCCTACGGTCGATTTCCAAGTCCACAGTGTGAAGTATGTAAGGGTTCTTCTGGTTGGAAACATTCCCGCAATTGTATCGGCCGGAATTTTCCACGGAAGCATTTGCAATGAGTAAGATCACCGTTGTTTTGTTTGACGCGAAGTGAGGTTTTACGAGGTCATCAGATGGTGTCTGGAATCTGAGGTCAGACGTCGTGAGTCCTTTGTTTACACCAGCTTCGGTCAAAGTGCAGAGGAGCTTGATGTCCTCCCCGCTCTCAAAGACGTATTGTCCATTGCTGCCTTCAATTCCTCCTTCTGGCCGTATCTCTGCCAATCAATGAGAAATCGTTTCGCATGCACTATTCTTTCATAAGTATATAGTTCAACCAAAAATATTTGCACGTGACGTCACGATGGTGAGATAAGACTAACGCCAACATTTCTCAATTCAGAATAAGGATCGAAATTCCGTTCTTTTGAATAACAAATGTCAATTTTAAGCCTGTTCTCTCCCCATTTCAGATGTCCCTGTCATTCTCTTCTATCCCTCTACGCAATATCGTGACCTGACGACTCACGAGCTAGCCTTCCCATGCTCCAGGATCGATGGACTCCCACTTCCGAGACGGCGACGGCGAAGAAACCAGGAGCGACGAAAAGTGCGAGTGCCCAATACCGCATTCTCCCTGAAGATGGAGGACTGGAATGTGCACGATCCGTCGTTGTCGGATAGGAAAGATTGAGTTATATATCCACATCGTTCAACATATTTTTCTCGCATTTGTATGAAAAGTTTTACACAGTACATAAATTCAAATGCAAACATTTTATCGTTTCAAAATTGTTGCCATTTTGAACCTGTCCCAATCGCTGTCAATGAGTGGAAACAAAACCCCTCTCTTTTTTCCTCATTCTGAAGGATTTTTTTTTTCATATCAGGTCGTCCCATAAGAAACGCCGTTTCTTCGCAATGCCAAACTTGTGTCTTGTTTATAGGTGTATCTGTGCACATCTCATGGAATATTTCTATGCTAACTTGAGTAGACGTTGGCCTTCAGTCTACCTGTAGGTTTTAACGAGTTAACAGCGCTACGCTTTTCTTAGACGTTAAAAACAAGATGGAGGTGTCAGAAGAACACATTAGGCAAATAATACTTTATGAATTTAAGATTGGGAATAACGCGACTGCAGCCGCGAAAAACATTCAAGATGTTTATGGTGAAGAAGCTCTAAATGCGAGGAAATGCCAACGGTGGTTCCAGAAATTCAGGTCTGGTGACTACAGCTTAGCCGATGAAGCGCATTCAGGCCGACGTGTTACGTTCGAAGATGACCTGCTGATAGCCACGCTTGAAGAAGATCCTGCTGTAACTATCCTGCTGTATCAGGATCTTCTTCGAGTGTGGCTATCAGCAGGTCAGCATCGAACTCATCGACTCGCATTTAGAGTTTCTCACCATTAACATCTTGAATGTTTTTCGTGGCTGCAGTCGCGTAATTCCCTTTTTTAAAAGAAACGGAACGCAATGGAACGGAAATATTTCCTGGAACGGAACGGAACAAAATAAATAGTTGTGGAAAGGAACAGAAACCGGAACACTCAGGTACCAGGTGAAACGGAACGGAACGCGGAACGAAAGAAATTCCGTTCTGAAGCCTTGGTTTTGGGTGACTTTGGGTGACTTACACAAACTCCAGGCTTTCATTTAATCTATAGAATGAAAATTCTGAATTGATACCTTTCGTTTTCATGGCGGAAATGTGATAATTAGAAGTCGCTTTAAACTGATGTTGCATTAAACGTCACGTCTGACACTTTTTTTCGTACACTGGTCAAACTCTAGCAAGAGCCAGCAACACTTTTAATTATGAATTTTCAGTCACTGCCTGAAGCACAATGATGCAGCCTTTATATGCTACTTCGTCATTTATCATATAGCCAAATACATCTTGTATATGAAACATACTCGTATTACTCAGGATCAACGTCTGACACAGTGCGGACAGACCCCTAACATGACGGGATCGATCGTCCAGCACTGTAAGAATCGCATGAGCACCCCAATCCACGGCTATGATGCAGTTACGCTCGTGGTTCATAAGGCACACCATCTCTTAAAAATGTGCAACAGGCACGATACCAAATCCATGAAGTACGAGCAGTTTCAGGATCATCATGAATTTCTGAGCGGGAAAGAAGACCGGCTCTTCCAGTCATCGGTGACGTTTCCGTCGCTAGTGACCCACAGTTCCACCTGGCCCGCAGAAACTAATAGAAAAAGCTGGAGAAAAGAGGAAGTGAGATGACGGAATCGCTTATCTTTTGCATTGTTCACGAGTGTCCGCGTATAAACTATGATGGTGTCGTAAAAATAGGAACTTGCCCATCATGGAAGTGGGGTGGTGTGCTCATGTGACTTACAGTGTTGCACTGTAGCCAGACCGGAGTGAGGGCGGCTTTGTGAAAGCGCCGTCTAAGTAAGAACTGGCACGACTCTCAATCTCTTCGAGTTTATCTCTAGAGTGGATCGAAAAATAAAAGCAATAATTGTTTTCTCAAGTGTCATCTCTCGACGACAACGAAGCAGGGATGCGAATTCGAACCCTCCGGCATCCACCAGATTCTCTTGCGAATCCAACCCGCAAAGCCAATTCCTAAATCCCCTCCGTTGGATTGGCTGCAGGAAAACATTTTTTCAATTGGAGCTCTGGATCTCGCCCAGGTAGGGAGAGACATCCTTTCGTCGCACTCGGTTTATCTCATTTCCAGAGGCTTCCCATAATGCGCCGTGAGCGATCCTCTTCATAGTAATAGGACAGAAGGTCTTTCCTACTCTGATGACGAAAATAACTAGCGAACTGAAGATGAACGTGTATGACGCACGTTCTCAAGATTAGAACCATCGGAATGAACATTTACGGTGATATTTCGCTCTCGAGCACTTTCTCCATCAGGAAAGAAAGAAGGTCTGCGAAGAGACTTCTGTACCGTTTCATTTTCCAAGGAGTTACTGGAGATAAATGAAATCCTCCCTTAGTTATGCATTTTTCGAGGCAACATCCAAGAACTCGTTAGCAATGGCTTGAATGTGAAAGAAAATGTGAGACCAGAAATGTCGGTCCCGCTTGCTGCGTGTAGAGACTTTGCCTGTTTTGTAGGAGTTTCCATATAATCAATGTAATCAGAAGCCTAGTTTTCCTCTCGTTTCTCACTACTGCATTCGGGTCTATAACGAAACCACGAAAATCGAAACCTCGAAGGAATTGAAACGGGGAATGTAACACGACGGCGAATGACACGAAACGTCGAAGGGGACAAAACCTCGAATGCAACAAAAGGTGGAAAAAGACGGAAAACCGAGAACTTGCACTCCCAGACCGAGACTGCTGCCCACTTTTTCCGCTCTCCTTTCGACGTAAAATCGATTTCAAATGGCGAGGATTTCTCTTAGGATTTTTCTCTTTCCATGCGCATGACTGTTGCGTCGGCCTTTCAACTCATCAGGACGTCCTCGGTGCCTACAATTCCTCCGCAAATTCCTGAACATGGAAAGGAGCTTGCAACTCACTTCCGAGAATTTACATTGATTGTAGGTGCATGCGAGGCCGTCCTCGCATTCCGCTTTTCCCACTTCGGGATGTGAAACGCTCATGAGGCTTCGAAAAGCAAAGATCCTCGAACGAACAATTCGGTCGAAGGATGGAGTCGCAGGTTCTCATCACTCCCGCCATCTCGCATCATCCAAATTCGCGGACCGTCTTGGAAATCCTCCGCCGGGAGCAGCTGTATGACCGAACGGGAAAGAGAAGGACTCTAACGTCTATGCAGGCAGAGATGTCCTGGGCTATCTCGCAAGTATTGCGCATGATCTGGAGTTTTGAACCCCTTCTTTTGCTTTCAGATAAAAGCCTGGACGTAAAAAAAAGTGAAGTGTTCGAGTTTTGTCGGTTCTTTCTTTTGGTGCATTCGAGATACTGGTACGTTCGAGGTTTCAGTTTTCTTCGTTTTGTCGTGTTTCGACACATTCTTCTGTACCTGTTGAATTTTAATTCCCCCCGGGTGAGACTTTCTTTCCGGGATTCTGTATTCTCTTGTCCTGTCTTGCATCGTCTTATTGATGCGACACAATAATCGACTACGTATTTCCCGAGTGATTCTCGCGAGAGGATTGTTCTAGAAGGTCCACGAAAGCAAACGGCGGGCGATATCCTTTCGATTTCCCTTCGATAGCCCTTCGATAGCCCTTCGATAGCCCTTCGATAGCCCTTCGATAGCCCTTCGATAGCCCTTCGATAGCCCTTCGATAGCCCTTCGATAGCCCTTCGATAGCCCTTCGCGCTTCGGGCGATGCACCGACTGCGAACTCCGATGGGCTTTCCGTGCCTTGGCGCAGTTTTCAGGCAGACGATGTGGGAAATGCAAGATCGAGGACAAAAAAAGAAAGGGGGTTCGACCGCAGTCACTTTTCTGCTATTCATGATAAACGAAACAAAACGTGGAAAAGAGGAAAAAAGAAAGAAAGAAAAGGAAAACCATGTAAACACCCACCGCCGCCGGATGAGAGAGTGAAGCAAGGACACAAATTCTACATCCGATGCTCTGTGCTCCGCGCACAGTGCTCTGATCATTGCCCCGATAAACAAAACTCTCTTATCTCTCACTTAGAATGTTCCAATGGCGGGAGACACTTGAAGAGTTGCAACATATTTTCCTCGCATTTGTATGCAATGAATTACACATTACATAAATTCAAATGTTATCGTTTCAAAATTGTTGCCATTGTCCCAATGGCCGTCAATGAGTGGCAACAAAGCTCCTCTCGTCCTCATTCTCAAGGATTTTTTTCTGCACAGGCATTTTTTTGGGCGTGTTTATGACGAGAAGCGGAAGGATTTGGGGGGGGGGGGGGGGGGGAATCTTGA